AGAAAAGGACTTCAGATCTGCAACTGGAGTTACAGGAGGCTGTGAGCCACACCGTGTGGGTTCAGGGAACTGAACCCAGGTCCTCTGCAAGAGCAGTGTGTGCTCTTAACCTGGAAGCCATCTCTCCAGCCCCTGATAGGGTTCTTCTTTTCCAGAGATCAAAATGTATTCTTCTCTTCTGCTGTTTCATGGTTTGAGATTTTGCACTCTTGAGTTCAGTGGTGAACAGTAAAGACAACCCATTTGTTACTGACTCCCAGGCGTCATGGTTTTGTGGACTTGACTAAACTTTTCAACCCCTGCCTTCCTATTTGTAAAGTGGGGATAATTACAGTAATACCCAGTCTGAGAAAATTATTTCTATAGTGTCTGTTTCTTATACATATTCAATAAATGGTGATTACACACTTTACTGTTGATATATAGGGACCAGTAAGACTTAAACTGTTTCCTCTCAGGTGGCTAAATAGTACTACTAATAAAGGAGTCATTCTTTCCACATTTATTTAGTGGTATGAGCACCCATTACATAAATGTTCACTCTGACACCCACTCTGGTCCCATTGATTTGTTAGAATCTTTCTGACTGTATCATATTGGTTAAACACTGTAGCTTTTAAACATTGAACAAGGTGCAGGAATAACATGTTCTTCCTTTTGTAACAACTATTTCCTTGTTACTTTCCCCCCCACAGGGCTTTTATACATATTTTAAAAATTTTAAACAAATAATGTAATGAGAATACATGTCTAATCATACACACTGATAAATGCAGTAAGTGTTTTTCTTCTACCAGTAATGTTACAGGCATCACCTAAAGCCTCTCATTTTCAGATCTTACATCACATGAGGAGGCAGCCATGCTGACCACAATCCCACTGGTACTTGATAATACAACCCTTAGGTGAAGGGAGAACTTAAATTGGCATGCTTATGGAGGGAATGACAATGAGAATTTGTTAGTGACTCAAAGCAGGATGCTGGTGTTTGTTTAGTTTCTTAGGGAAATGGCTGACACACCACAATCTACTGTTTAGTCACTGGGAACTGTTCAGTGGCCTCTTATGTTGATTTTCATTTCTTCTACTGGGAATTAAATGTAGGGCTTTGCACATGCCTAGTAGGTGCTCATCACTGACCTAAGGCAGCAGCTCTTAGCATCTGACATGAAGTGAAAGCAGCTAACACAGAACTTGTCTCTCAATGGATTGCTGAAGATTTTAATAACTAGTGAAGTTGTTTCTAGTTTTCTCATTAAACCACAGAAATGGGGACATTCTTATCATCTATACCACTGCATTTTAAACTATTGATGGAATTATTTTTCTGTGTTTTAGCTTTAGCAAATAAATTTATTTTAAATAACAGTACAAAACATTTTACTTATTTTGTGTTTCAGTTATCAGGGCCATGGCTCTATCCAAAAGGATACCATTACAATTTATAACTACTAATATGTTTTGGAGTCTTAACAGTAATAGTTTTATTTTAAAATTATAAATCATAATTGACTGTCTCTAAACACTTAGCTGCTCTTTATGAGATTGAGCTTCTCTCAGGGTGGATGGCAGTATTATTAGAGGTATGACTCAAAAATAAAGGCAAGCTTTTCTAAGTTGTACATAAACCAAAAGCCATATTGTAAACCAAACACACAGCATCACATTAAATATGCAAGAGTGCCACAGAAGTAATGGTCTCACTTTGATTCTTTATAATAATTGCCACTGTGGATGTTAGAGGTTGAAGGTAGCATCATCTAGAAGTACACAGAAACCAGATCATCATCTTCTTCTTCTCTTTCTCTGTTTCCTCCTCTTCTTGAGAGAGAGGGAGAGAGAAAGAGAGAGAGAGAGAGAAAGAGAAAGAGAGAGAGAGAGAGAGAGAGAGAGAGAGAGAGAGAGAGAGAGAGAGAGAGAGAGAGAATAGCCCTAGCTGTCCTGGAACTTGCTCTGTGGACCAGGCTGGCCTCAAACTCAGAGTTCTGCCTGCCTCTGCCTCCAGAGTGCTGGGATTAAAGATGTGTGTCACCATCATCAAGCCTCGTTTAAACCAGGTCTCTCTCTCTTACTTTTTTTAAAGGTCATCTTAAAAATTTCCATTGTGATCCTTTTTGCCTGAGAATTGTTTCCAGTTTTATTTACATTTTATGTGTGTGGTGTTTGTCTGCATCATGTGCATGCAGGGCTCCCAGAGGCCAGAGGAAGGTGTGGGTTTTGAGCCACCATTGTGTGCTGGGAACCCCTGTCTTTTGGAAGAGCAGCCAATGCTCTGACACTTGAGCCATCTCTCCAGCCTGAACTTTATTTTGTTTAATATGTTTGTTTAATGGGTGTTTTGCCTGCATGTATATCTGTGCACCTATGCATTCCTGAATGCCTAAGAGGTGGTGGATTTCCTGGGGTTGGACTTATAGACTGTTTTGAGCTGCCCTATGGATTTTGGGAACTGAACTCAGGTCCTGTGCAAGAGCAGCCAGTCCTCTAACCCCTGAGCTATCACTCTATCTCCAAGTTTTCTTAAAATTTTACTGTTTTTAACTGTGCGTGTCTGTTGGGTATGCCAGGTGTCATGGAGTCAGAGGAGCTGGAATAATAGGTGGTTGAAACACACCCAATCTGGGTATCAGGCTCCAAACTCTGGTCCTCTGGAAGAACATGCATGGTCTCAACCATGGACCCAGCTCTTTAGTCCCTTGTCTGAGAAAATTTCCATGAGACACCATGTATATAAATATATAGAACAGGCATGCAGATGAAACATTTAATGGTAATGTACCATGAGTGAATTACCTAATTTTTGTATACATATAATTTTATTTTTCCTTATTATTTATTATGTTGTGTGTGTGTGTGTGTGTGTGTGTGTGTGTGTGTGTGTGTGATGTAAATGTGTGTGAGGTCACAGGGCATTTGTAGAGGTCAGAGGGCCAGCTTGTGCAGTCAGCTCTTTGCGTCCACTTTACATCAGTTCTGAACTTTGAACTCAAGACATGGGGCTTACAAGGCTAGTGATTTTACCCATCGGGTCAGCTCACTGCTCCAGTTTTATCACTTATTAAAAATGGGTGCAATGTTATACATTATTGACATGAAGTACTTGCTTATTTTTACATAAAGAATATTATTTTGGAAAGGGGGGTGGAGATGGCTTAGTGGTTAAACGTGTTTGCCGCTCTTGAAGAGGACCCAGCTTCACTTCTCAGCACCCATATTGGGCAACTCACAACCTGTTAACTCCAGCTTCAAGGGGTCTGGTGCTCTCTTCTGGCCTCTGTGGGTGCTTGCACACACATATGTAAATAAAATAATTTAAAAAATTGTATCTTTGCTGACTCTTTGATACTGTACCATGTGGACCATCTTCAATGATTTTTGGAACTGACTGATTTTATGATTTTATTGTTGTCAATGCTGAGAATATCTTTTTTTCTTTTTTACAATACATGGTACAAAATGGCAAAAGTTGAGGACCATTTTGGAAATTGTTGGAAAGGCTATTCTAATTCCAGTTCATTTAATGATATTTTAAAATGAAACTCAAGTCAATGGCTCTAACAGCAGAGGTCTTAAAATCAAAGATTCCAACACAAGTCTAAGCAAAGACATGCACATGCTTAGCAATGAAGGCAGGGAAGTATTCCAAGTCTTTGTTTTCTATAATGAAACCATTATGTTTAATGTGAATGATAAGTACTGCAATTCATAAAATACAGTAGTCTTGAATCTGTGCTATGGTGTTTTAGGAAGTGAATACTAGCTCTGTGTGGTGTGAGGACATACACACTGTAAGGTCATGCTGTGTGTTCAGAACCAAGGTTGCATGTAGCCAAGCCACTTGGTGCAACATGGGCAAATAGTACAGATACCTTTGGTTCACCTACACATTTGGTTCTGAATTAATTTCTGATCATCAAATGTTCAGAAACCTTTGGCTATTCCTTTTGTTGTTGTTGCAACTTCTCTCCATCAGTCACCCCATGCATGGATTTGCAATCATCCGTTTAGGAAGCTCTTCCTAAGTCATTTGTGAGGATTATGTGTCTTTTAGAACTGGATAGCTATTTCTTTTGTTGCCCTGTCTTGAGAAATATGAAACACTTTGGGCATTCAAAAAAGTATGGTAAAAACCATAACAACCTTGTACATTTATTGCTTGGCTCAAGCACTTGAAATAAAACTCGACAGTATTTTCCTTTTCTTAATGATAACAGTATATTACCAGTCGAAAATACAGGAATTGCATATTCTAGGTATCTTGTTTTCAGCAAGATTATTCCATCAATATACTAATTGTGGCAACATATTTATTAAAGCCACTGGAGATCGAAATAGCAAAGCAGCCATACTAGTTAGCCATAGAGGTCAGGCAGTAGTAGCACATACCTTTAATACCAGGACTCAGGAGACAAAGGCAGATGATCTTTCTGAGTTCAAGGCTACCCAGGCCTATACTAGAATGAATTAGTCTAAAAGAGAAACAGAGCTCACGCCTTTAATCCCAGCACTAGGGAGGTGGAGACAGTAGTGATATGGCTGGTCAGAGGAAGGAGTTTAAAGAGGAGGAGACAGGAACTGAGAGCTTTTGCCTCTTAGGATTCTGGGAGACAGGATTACCATTTCAGCTGGGTAGAGGTAAGATCTACTGGCTTGGCTGCTTTGCTTCTCTGATCTTCAGTTTGAAGCCTGAACTCCCAAAATCTATTTCTGGGTCTTTTATTATTCATGTTACAACTAATTTTATTTTATTTTTATTGTCTTAAGGAGGTCTACTGAGTATCATTGACAAAATGTGCTAGGTACATATTGTGTGAGTCTGAGATGGATACTAATTAGCAAATGTGGGCAGCAATTCTAAACACTGCTGGCAAGAGTATGAATGTCCTAACTCTCTTGGCCTTGGTTAACAATTGTCTCTGAAATAGACTCTCTGACTCTTTTTCTGAGAAAAATGATTTTCTAAACCCCTCTAAAGATAAAAAAGGAAAGAGGCGTGTTACCTGTCGACACTGAGAGCGCAGAGATTCAAGACGGTGATGCCGACAGAGGACTTCTGCAAAAAGGGGAACAACTTGCAGAGAAATACTCCAAAATCGTTGTGGTCAAAAGGCCAGCGCCCCGCCAACAGCTGAAAAGGTGAGAGGGAAGTGAGAAATGGCAAGGCTGGCCCAGGTGCGCACCCCACCCCCACCCCACCCCTGCTTGTATCCCCAGATGCACTTTTACTGCTGTGTGTGAACACAGTGGCCAGATATCAGAGGTTTTCTCCCTTTCACAATGGCTTTTGAAAGAAGCCTTTCCTTTTCTCCAACCTGGCCCCTCCTCTTCCTTGTGTCACTGTAACCAGTCTCAACAGGCTTATCAAACTTTCCACATGAACTTTGTCCAAGGACATCCACAGATCTCCACTAAAACACTGCTCTAAACTCTGACGAGCTTTGGGAATGTCACGAATAATTCTATGCCTCTGGCTGCCTAGTGTCTGGTGCAAGTAAAGGCACAAGGCATGATTTCCGGGCTGAATCACTCTTACAAAGACAAGGATCGTGCTTTAATGCCAACTTGCCAAGAGCTAGAATCAGCTCAAAGACTGGGAGATCTTTCAGCTCACCCTGTCTTAGCAATAAAACATATAAAAGGAGGGGGCATCTTGGAAGCAAACAGTCCAGTGCACAGCTTTCTGACTTTAAAATATTATGTGTGTGTGTGTGAGACAGCAAAAGTGTGGCAATCAGAGTTGGTTGTCTCCTTCCACCATGTGAACCCAGGGAATAACTCAGGTCACCAGGCTGTTTACCTACTGAACGAACAGTCTTTTCTTTTTTTCTTTCCTTTTCTCTCTTCTTCCTTCCTTCTTTTCTTCCTTCCTTTCTTCCCTCCTTCCTCCCTTCCTTTCTTCCTTCCTTTCTCTCTATCTCTTTCTGTCTTGCTCCCTCCCTCCCTCTCTCTCTGTATCCCTTCCTTTCTTCTTTAATAGAGGCACTTGGGGTTTCTGATGGGTACTGGGGATACACCCTCCCTATCATTTATTAACACTTAAAATTAAAAATAAATTATTTTGAAGTGGCAATAATTACATTGTATCACATTTAGATAATGACAACCGAATAATAAGACTATCACCCAAATTTCCCACCCAAAGGCATCCCTTGCTGATATAGCTATGTTTTCTTACAGAAAATTTGTAATGTACATACAAACTTCATCTGTAACATATGTAAAATGAAAACTTTCAAAAGTTTATTGTGTTTTCTTGTTCTGGTATAATTAATGTTGCCTAAGAAAAAGGTCTTGGACTTTAAAAATACTTTGATGGATGGAACAGTTTAAGCAAGGGCCGCACTTGGTTAGCAGCTATTTAGTGTGATATCTTGACCACAGAAAAACAACTGCTGATTTCTTTAATGTTAGCAAGTGATGATCAATTCCATGACAGAAACAACAAACAAGTTGTCAAGTCAAACCGTTTCAAAGGGTCATTTTGGAGCATGGGGAGTCATAGCTTATTTTTATTGCCATAAAAGGCCTGTGTTATGAAAACCTCATGTTTATGTCTCTTTGAGAACAGCATGTGATACCTAGCTGAGAGTCAGTACTGAATGCATAAATGCTTCCAACTCACCCTGATCAGTGACTCTAACTCATGAATTCAGGATCATGGTTTTCGTGTTCTGAAATGGCAGCATGTAGGTTCTCAGAGATTTACTTTCTATTCCAAGGTATCAGTGTTCCAAAGAAACATTTTCACTTTTTGTAAAGTGAAATGGTATACAGAACATTGAGTAGGAGGAAGTGGCAGCTTAGGTTACAGATGGTTGTCTGCCTGCCATAACCCGGCTTTGGGTGACAAGGTCACAGCTTTCTAGGAGGTCCATGGAAGGCCAGGGAGACACATATCCTGTGGGGGAAGCCCTCATCTTGTCTCCCCTTTCTGCAGAGGGGTTCAGAGCAGCACTGCAGACTACAGGGGACAATGGCCTTCTTCAACCAGCTGAAGTATATGCACAATCTAAGACAGTAAATTAATGTAGAAATTGCAACTCATGTACTTGACTTGGATTGTATCAAGTCAATGTCATAAAAGGGACAGGGTGCCTGTCGCTTAAAGCTGCCAGACACAGGTTACACATGTGAGGACCTGTTTTCAGAATGGCTACATTCCCCCAAGTACCTTTTATGTCCACTTTTGTATTTTGTGTTTTTGTGCAAAGGGATGTCTCATTTAGTGTGCCTAATGCCAGTTTGTGCTGCTTTTCTGGAACATGTCTGACAACCAGAAGCAAGGGCAAAATCTAGAACCTGGCAGATATGTGAAATTCTGCCCTTGTGACCCCCTACTCATTGTAGGTAAACAATGTCCCCATTATAGGAAGGCATATTGTTACTTTGTGTCCAATGCTACAAGCTTAGTTTTTCTTCTTCAAGTCCAATGCTACAAGCTTAGTTTTTCTTTAACTTGTTGCAGACTCAAGCTATTCACCAACAGAAACATTTATAAGAAATAGTTTTCGATATTGGATTGCATAAGGATTAGGGAGTTAGTGAAAAATATCCTAGCACTTGGGTCATGACCCAGACCTGTGCTGATCAGCTAGGGGTAATGTTGTGTCTCTTGGGGATAGGTGTCAATATCAGAATCTTCTGGGTATTAAGGACTAAGAGGGATGTTCCTGACATCTGGGGAGTAGGGGCTAACTATATGATGTTGCTAATATCTTATAAAGCACAACAGGATATCTTCCCCAAATAACCACCAGACGCAAGATGTTAATACTGTTGAGGTTGATACACACCATCCCAGGAAGTACACCAGATTAAAGAGAGGGTAGCTAGGCTAGCTGCTTTGGGAAACTGAATAGCACCAGAGGCACCACAGACTGTTGTACTGTGTCCCAGAACTGATGACTCTGGGGCTGGGCTGAAGCTTGGATATTCCCAACTGCCAAGAGGATCGGATGCTGCTTCAGAACCATCACTCTAGAAGAGCCATGAGCAGCGAGGATGAGAGCTGGTAGCCAGTTAGAACCAGATGAGCAGGAAAAAAAAAATTAAACATTCACAAGGGAGAAAATCATCGTACTAGTTTGGGGCTGAGTGGCTTAGAGCACGTTTCCCTTACTGTCCCTAAGGACACGGCACAGAGATACTTAGTCAAAGCAACAGAGACTCTAGTGTCTGGGCCTCACTGGCTTGATGCTGTTTGCTTATTCCCTCTGCTCGGGGCAGGCTGAAGAGGATTTCCTTTTACTGTGTGACCTAGTGTGAGCTACTCAGCCATTGGAACTCTTTCTGTTCTAGTCAAATGGGGGTAGTTCCTGTCTGTCATGGTGGTGTAAAGGCCATTTGGCAAGCTCAGTCAGGACAATGCTAATGTGAGAATCCTGCCAACTGAACTATCAATGCTATTATTTTGGGTTGCTTGTAAACCCAAGCTGAAATGTATGTGCCATTTGTGTATGATTTTAATGAGAAAAATAAGTAGTCTGAATAATTCTACCACTGTTTGCTGATTCCAGATGTTAATATCTGCCACTACTTAATCTTATCACTCAGGCATTATTTTTATCATTGTCATCACATCTTAAAACCGTACACAGAAAACCAGCACTAGCTTTTACTTTGTCCCGATTTCTTTCCATCCCCTCTGGTAATGCGGGCCAATGTTTCTGCTTCCCCTTTTGTCTCACCCCACCCATTCTAGACAGGAATGAAGGATTTATGAATATAGTCTGCAATAGCTAAAACCTCAACGTTTAAAAAAATGTTCTCTTCCCTTGGAACATGCACTATTGTGGGGCACTTGGAAGCAGACAGACAGTTCTCAAAAGAGCAGGGGCTGAATTTTTTCTCCCCCCCTCCCCCTTCCCCTCCTCTCTGCCCTTCCCCACCCTCCTCTGCTCTCATTCTCTCCCTTCCTTTTCCTCCCCTCCCTTCTCTTTTTCCCCCTCCCCCCTCCTCCCTTCTCCTCTCCCTCTCCTTCACTCCCCCTCTAACCCTCCCACTTTCCTCCTCTCCTTGCTTTGCTTTTTTCTCCCTCTATTCTTAGAAAGGAGCTGGAATGTACACGTTGTCACACAATCAAGCCATAGAAAAGAAGATTGTCCCCACCAGTACAGCCTGAGAGTTTCAAAGCCTGTGATGCCCAGAATGAGGCTTTTAGTGAGACCATGAGTTCTGGCTGTCCAGTCAAATGTTGTAGTATCAGTCACTATCATGACAGGGAGCAGGTTTTGCTCCTCCATTATGCTTTAACTGTCATAGGATTGAGGCAAAACTATCAGACAAATGTAGTAAAAACTGCCTGTCATACACACATGCTTCCTGTAGGTGACATTCAGAGAAGGAGCACAGCTGTTTTGGTCTGGCTTTGTGTGCTCTCAGTGACGTGGGGGACAGAGGAAGTTTTGTTTCAACCGTGGACTAGGTCTGACCTGTGCCACCTTCTGACCCATGGCTCAGGCATACTGGCTTACTCCTGACTTCCCATGTCTTCCTACAGCAGCCATCTCACAGGACCAATTACTATAGGCAGCAGTAGCAGAGATAATGCAGAGCTTAGCACAAGGAAAGGTCTAGAAACGTGAACTGTGGTCACCGATGACCCATGGCTAGCTCTATTTCTTGGGAGTCACTTTGCCAAGGAGGTTAGCTAGCTTCCTTCACTGTAACAAAATATCTGAGACAATCACATTTAAAAGAAAGGCTTATGGTGGCTCAGGGTCTCACAGGATGCTCAGACGTCTTGCCTTTGGGTCTACGATGAGGCAATACTTCCTGGCAGGGTGGCTTTGAAGCTGAGATAGATGAAAAGGAGGGGCCACAGTTACACAGCCTTCTTTGAGGACATGCCCCAATGCCCTAACTTCCTTCTTCTAGACTTTTCCTTTAAAGGTTCTACCACCTGATAGTGCTATGGGAAATTAGCCTCCAATACCTTTGGAGTGTGTTCAGGATCCAAACTAGAGCATATGGTAAAGGAGGAGTATGCAGGAACCAGGTACAGGGTGGCAGCAGACCTCACAGAATCAAGAGACCCCCATCCTCAAGGAATTTACTGTCTAGTAGACAGGCAGACATCAGGGCACCTGAAGCTCTAAGCTATATACTAGGACCTCAACAGAAGGAGAA